AGGGGGAAAATCTTAGAATGACTGCTCCCGCCTGGGTGAGGCGGGAGGGAGTGTCAGACTTTTACTGACTAAAAACCACCCCGTTCCTTCTCCTGCACGTCGAGCCGGAGCCCCGGTTACCCGTTAGGTTCTCCGCGACTCCGAATCGGCATCGGCCCTATTGGGCCCCATCTGTGGTGGTCTGATGGCTCTTCGAGGCGCGCGCGGAACGCGACGCGCCGTACGCTCGGGTCTGTTTCTGGTCGGACGGGGCTTCGCTGCTTCACGCGTCCCGCCTCCTCCTTAGCTAGCATAACTGCTTCGCAAATATATACGGAGGAGACGACATCCCAGTCCCAAAATCCTACTATACATTTGCTGGTCTGTAACGTTACCAGAAAGATAAAGAAACAAAAACACGTTCCTTTGCAGTTTTGTTAAGTAATAGCCAGCTATTAAAATACTAATTCACCACTACAAAATACCAAACAGAAATACTAACTTAGCTTATATTTATCTTTCTTTCCTCACAGTCAGTTGAGTAAATACCAACAAGAGTTAAAAACAAAGTTTTGTTGAACTCTGCTTACCACGGGACGGACTATATTGCTTACAAAGTTATTATCACTTTAAATGAAATAGAAATAAATAAATTGACGTGGGGGCCCACCCACTAATAGGTTAGAAGTCGGTGCCACAAGCCCATAACAAAATATAACTTAGGTAATGGTCATGGTTATAATCTGTCATAAAATTGTACACAGCTTAGCTAATATACGGTATTTGTTACGGGTTGAAAGAATTTTATTTATTTAACTTTATGCAAAAAGAGTACATAGGCGGGCTATGAATAACATAATAATAATACCATAGAATAACTTTTGTTTAAAACTTGTGGCACCGACTTCTCACCTATCAGTGGGTGGGTAATCTATAAGTAATAATAGTTATTTTTTGCTTTTTACTTTTGACATTTTGCTTGTGTTTAGGTTTTGTTTTACGAAGTCGGTTTTTTTAAAAGCAGGTTTTGTTTTTAAATTTGATTTTGATGATTGCATTGTAATGATTGTTTTCTTCAATTTCGCTGCCTTCTGAGTTTCTAAAATCTAATGTGGTTTAAAACCAATAAGTTTCTAATACCAAAGAGTAAGGCGAACTATAATATGATCAACTTGTGCAAAATCTTGAGGTACCATAAGATATCGACCTATCTCAGAGTTACTATGATTAATGATCATTTTAACTCAGCATTTATTTAGCATAGTCGGCGATCCTGGTTCCCAAGGAGACCACCTGCATTAATTTTCCATCAAGGTGATATTTTGTTTGTTTAGCAATTTGTGCTTTGAAACTGGTGGTATACAGTACATTATAGCTTGAATTATTTTGTTAATATGGGAATAAAGTCGCTCTATATAGTTGGGGTCCATAATTGGCTTAAATTAAAACCTACAAAATTCCAATAGGTAGTATAGAATTGGTTTCAAAACGGAAATCGAATCTAAGACAGTCAATATAGCAACCACATGAAAATAAGCGAGGAAAATCATAATCATACAAACCTAACCAAAAAGGACAAAATGGCGTAAACGGCATATTACAACAATCCCGAATTATTCCTTAAATAATATTATTTTTACTATAAGGAAAACCAAAGCATTTCTTATTTCCTGAAATCTAAGCAATTATTCGGAGAATCCACTTGTAACCACACTTCGGTGACTACTAAGTCTGCCTACCCCATTGTGGTATAACGCTATATTTCTTTATTTGCTGCCAACAAATGTTCATTTTTTCCGCTATCAGCTTTTGCAAGCAAGTAATGAAGAACGTAAATATTAGACGAACCAGATCGGGTCCTTATATTAATTCAGTTATTATTATTATTGCTTTTTTGTTGTTTTCGTTGTTTTGCGTTTTGGCGCTTATGTGATTGCGTAGAGAGATTTCCTAGAAGGTCCTATTACATAGGCCTGGTAAGATACACTAAAGTAGGTAAGTACTTATAGATTTTGAGATTTGTATCAGACAAAGCTCCCATTTAGGCTGCCTGTCCATTGACGCGAAGAGTGAAGAGTGGCAACGGAGCGGAGCTAGCGAGTATTGCGGCGCGGAGTTACGGACTGTGTCTGTCCATTGAGGCATAGCGAGGAAGCGGTGTGGAGCCAGCGAGTATTACTGAGCGGAGTAATGGATTGTCAAACTTCAGCGGTATACTATACTATCCCAATATCCCATACCCCCGCTCCGCTCCCGAGACCGCTTTCCCGCCGCCAGTTCATTCGGCTGCCTCAATCCGCCGTCTCGCACAGCTGCCTTGCACCGCTACCACGCGGCGCTTCCGAAAATGTATGAATTTTTAAACTAGCTCGGTAATCCCTTTCCACTAAAGCGGAGCGGAGAATTCCTTCAAGAACGCCTTGGCGTTTCAGATGTCCATGGGCGACGCCGATTGCTTACCATCAGGTGATCTGTCAGTCCGTTTACCGGCTTATGCCATAAAAAAATGATACTTAGTAGGTACAGTGACGACCAAGTTGTAAAAATGACGAGACAAAGATTGATATGGGTACAAGTCCAAAAATCCCAATAAGAATACTTTCACGTCTACAGTTGTGTAACTTCCTGAAACCCTACTAACTTACTTGATCCATTTACTGAAAAAATCTGTCCTTCAAAGTTGAAAGGCTCGATTTGGGGAACCCTTTTTTATTGTTTTGAGCTCAAATACTATTAGGTACCTGTTTCTTGTACCGGTTAGTTTAAAATACCTTTAGATATTATGCTAGAAGAATAGAAAAAAAGATGCTGGAATATTTTGGTTGAGTATAAAGATATTACAGATACCGGACTCATTGCTCGCCAATTGCTTACCATCAGGTGATCCGTCTGCATACAGGCTTATGCCATAAAAATAATTTATCACAATCTACCCGAATACATTATACAGACACACACATACACCCATGTTTTCTCATAAAAATTCAAAAATATTCAACAAAATTCTATATTCAACCACTGTCTACACTTCCAATTTTATCTCAATTTGCACGCAATATCGTTAAGTACTTACGCATCTTATGAAACAGCCCAAGCGATGAGATGCACCCCTTAGGGGACGAACCGAGGGGGAGAACGTGACCACACATACAAAACCGAATTAATGTGACAAGAAATACTAAATTAATAATTATTATGTAACAATTTACTCACACACATTTAATTTTATTTATAGTTATTTAAATACATACATAACTTGGTGGGCAGAAACCATGGAACGCCAATTGCTACGATCCTTACTTCTTTTCTCTCTTTCTTCTTTGTGTTCTCTTATTCGTTCGTTACTCTACTTTCATACATCCTTTTTATATGTCCAAACCAGCGTAAGTAACATTCTCTTATAGTTATTTATATGATTAATAACATTGAATGCATTAATGACATAACAATTTGTACGTTTGCTTGCAAACAGAATACAGTGACTTTTAGGCTATAAGATCTTTCCTGTAAACCATACTATTGTTTATCTTGCAAATAACTATTTTGAATATATTAATTTTTTTTTTAAACGTGAACCAAAAATTATTCTGTCACATCTGTTATGACTATGAGTCCCAGTAGAACTCGAAACTAGTCGGGTTAACTCGTATAATGTAAATAAGCCGTAAAACATGATTATTAATTTTGTTATATCCGATAGAAGTTTAAAAACAAAAATAAATACACGAATTCACTTCATAATGAGTTTATTAACATTATTTATGTACATAAAGTCGTTAAAGATATGTTGTATTCACAAACTAATATTATTCATTAAGTAATCACTATTTTATTAGTATTACCAATTTTAGTACTAGACTTACAAAACAATGATATTTGAAAATTAAATGTGAATTTTCGACGAAAACTTAACTACATAATTTCCGAAGCTATGTTTTATGCAGATCTATTTTGTTTTTAGAGTTCCAGCAATATGTGGGTTATCAGAAGCATCGACATAATACTAATGGACATGCCTTAGAGATGAGAATTATGTCACTCCGAAAGAAAGAGAGGAAACGAAGTTTCGGTCTATCTTTATCTCTCTCAAAATAGTACCGTAGTTAAGACGTTATGAGCGAGAAAGAGATAGCGCTAGACCGAAAGCATAGGCCATCTCTCTTACTCTTTTCAAACTAGAAAATTACTGCAGATTATACGCGTACGGCATGTCTATTAGTATATGTCAATGATCAGAAGTTAATGAATTTGATTTTTGATACTTCATTCAACTAATGTCAAAAATTGATCCTATTTCACAGATTTAGAATTAAAAATACTGTTACACATACTAAACACGAAAATATGTTTATAATATATCTATCGTGGGACATACTTATTTATTACTTTTTTACGCGGCTACTGTCTCCGCGTTGCGGGTCCCGGAATGCTGGTAGTAATAGGTGCTTGCGAATCGACAGCGTTCGAATTTTGAAATTTTTTGAGCATGCTCAATAGAACGCTTTTTAGCAAGCAGCTATTTTAAAAATGTGTAACAGTACCTTTTGTTCCATTATCAATTAAAGTCATAAGTAAAAACTATTCAGTGTTCGTATTTACATATTTTAATGTGCTATTTAAGTCTTATTACGTAAATGCAACCATAAGTATTCATTTTCTTACAAATTAATAAATGCAATGAAACAATACTCATAATGATAAAAACAAAACACTACTTATAATGTACCGTAGAAAATTGTATGAACAGTCACAAAAGGCGATGGAAACAATTTAAAATATATCTTATTACTGTATTATTTAGGTATGTTTTTATTAATCAACCAAAGATATGTAACATCTAACTCACTAAAGCTGCGATTTAAAAAAATGCTTTAACTCGTCGAGTACCGGTTTTATAGACACAATTAAAGAACAATAGGTCGCGGTCACCGGTGACCGCTTGGTGTTTGACAGTTTAAATCAACTCGTATTAAAAGTGTGAATAAATCATGTTATAGGAAATTTTACAACTTATAAAGCGTCTAAACGAATATAAAGTCGGGATTCGTGCAGCAGTCGCTTCTTTTGTCCGGATTTTGAGCGGCTTTCACCCACTTGCCGTGGCAATGAGGTGCTACTAGGGCGTAGAAGCGGGTCGCGTGGCCGGGTACGCCATGCCCACTGCAGCGCCATTTTAGGTCTCGTCGAAGAGCTGCTGTCTCACAGAGCACGCAGACTGTTGCTCCTGGTGAAAGACAATCAAGTTTTAGAAGTCATTTTGAATTGATGGATAACCTAATGGTCGGATAATCGACTACTACACATCACATGTCGCGGGTTGAGCTCAGTCGAAACCATAAATTGTAACACCGACAAATTGTTGTCCCATATTATATATAGAGGTACTGGTGTGACGTGTTTGTAATAAGAATAACAATCACGATATACGAAAAAACTTTTTTTTTGTAATATTAATAGTAATTGAGATTCTATTGTATATTTTATCAAATACAACTTTAAATAAAACACAAAATATTCTCAACCTACAAGGCAAATAGTACCTAAAAAACGTAAAAGTATTATAGACAATAGAGTGTCAAATATTGTCTTCTAGCATTTTCTATCTCCGTGTTTAGAGAATAAATTGTTTGTAGGTCCAATTCATCTAACGTTGAATTAAAATCGCTGAAAGCCGCTGGTAGGTAGAATGCAAATGCTTCTTGAACAAAGCAATACCTATTTCAGCAACTTATTTCAATTTTCTTTGCCTCAGGAAAACTATTTATTAATTCAATAGTGAAACATCAAAATGCACTCAGGAAAGAAAACTTTACAACCTTTGTTCTCAAGCAAAGGAAATTCTAAAATTGGTTTTCTTATTTTCTGTTTTCCGCCTAGAAATAGATGCAAGGAAAAACATACCTTCTCTTAATGCTTTATAGTCGGAGTCTGTGTGGCAGGCTTTGGACACCTTGGTGACTTCGAACTGGGCGCAGTATCTGGACAAAAGTAGGGAGAAATGAATTATAAGGGTAAAAAATAAAATTTATTGGACGTATCGCTGTATTGTCGGTTCGATGCCGCACAGGAAATTAGTTTGTAGGAGTATTTTGAGTTGTCGATGCGATTTTCGACTTTATGTTCTTGACAAATGCTAATCAATTTCCGTTGATTTGAAATTAATAGGGTAGATGACTAATTTTTATTTTAATGTCCGTCTGGTAGATTATTTTAATTAAAAACATTAGACACGTATTTTTTATTTTTTACGGAAACGAATAGTTTCGAAGATATATTGATTCGAAATGTCGCGTGACGTCACTTCTATGTACATTTTATACGTAGAAATGACGTTTTAGCCCCCACTCCTAAACTTTGATTCGTTATATCTAAGTATCATTTTATTATACAACAAAAAAAAAAATACGTGTCTAATATTTTTTCATTACCTAACTGACGGACTAATTAGTTTTTTTAATTTTCATACCCTGTCATCATACCTATTTTCATTTTGAGATCTAATGATCTAATATTATTTTTATTTTTTTCAAAAGAGTGCGAATCGTCCAGATTCCCCTTGGACAGACACATCTTACAACCATTGGCGTAATTTACATAATAAACAGAGTATTAATTTTAAGTAATACATTGTACAGTATATCCCGAAACTCAACATCAAGGCGAGGCGAGGTTGTACATTTTGAAAAATCAACAAATATAAAATAAATAATAGTCTGCCAATCTGTCCATTAATGAAATATTCAGTAGCACCTGGAATTGTGTCCGGTATATGACAATAGCTCACCCCCTATTACACGGTACTCATAACATAAATAGTGAAAACTGGTGTTAAATTGTACAGTAGCATTAAGTACCGTAATGTGCACCTCTGTCTACCACGGGATTAAAGGCGTATTTGTGATGTTATGTTTTGTGATTCTAAACGTTTCGAACAGTCGCTAACAAGATTTCAATATTATCGTTTTTTAAAAAAATACTGAATATAACACACTGCTCTCTGATTGGTTGGTGTTGACAGATGCTCTGTGATTGGCGGAGGAGGATTATATATGTTGTCTCTCGTTTTAAATCCTACGGATTTTCCTAAGTTTATTTTTCGATGATATATGTGCCTTTGCCTACCCCTTTAGAGACTAACAGCCATTTTCTATAACCTATCTATATATCAGAAGCAAATCTACAAATTCTAAGAATCTACGAAATCTACAGATAGATATAGATAGGTTATAGAAAATGGCCGTAAAAGATCTTACTAGTACAATTTGGAACATAATAGCTACCCTACTTTACAAACGCATTCAGATCAATGATCCACACAGATGGCACTGCACGGAGTTTCTAATTTCCTGTAGTCATGTCAACAGCACAGATGTATCGACGACCAGTCCAGACTAAACTGATCTCCTTGCATTGTTCTACCATAGAATAGAGTAGATGCTTTGTGTACACTGGTTTGAATGTATGGTTCAAATACTTTTTCTACGGTCTGTATTTAATCGACTTCAAAGAAGGAGGTTCTATTTTGACCTCAATGTATGTATGTTTGTTCGTTATTATCTCGCGATCGGCGGCGCTGATTTTGATACGGTTTCCAAAAAATTGTCTTTAATTATATTTAGGTGTATGGTCTAGAATTCGTTGTCTTGAATTTAGACCTAGTAAGTAAGTAAGTAAGTAAATCATTTATTTGCGTAAAACATGGTATACATTGGTGTTAATATTGTTACAATAGCTCAACATGTTTCGCTAAGGTAAAACATAGCATGCAAAAGTTTGTTATTTTGACAGAAGTGAGCAGGTAATTAACATTTCATATTCATAAAATCACATAAACTATAAAAATTACATTCATTGAGCCACTTGTATAATTCGATCTTAAGTCTCCTTGTGTTCATTACTTTAAAGCGACTTGGTAATTTGTTATAAATACGTACGCACATTGCTAAACAGTTTTTATTGTATTTGGCAAGTCTTGGCAAATCACTTAATACCAGTTTATGAGGGTCTCGTCTGTTTCTAGGATTGATATAATGTGCTGATTCAAATAATCTCTTATTGTTAGCCACAAATACACATACCTCATATATGTACAGACACGGCAGAGGTAGCAAACCAAATCTTTTAAACACTGGTCTACAAGCCATCAGGTTGAAGACCACTCATTGCTCTGATGCACTTTTTTTGTGCGACAAATGCTCTATCCATATTGGTGCTATTACCCCACATTACGAGGCCGTATCGCAATAGCGACCCAACATAGGCGTAGTATGACATAATTGCAGTTTTTATGTTAGTTATATTTTTAACCTGCTTCAGTGCGTATACAAATTTATTTATTCGAGTGCTTACATTATCCACGTGCTCCTTCCAGTTAATATCTCTATCTATTGTTACGCCTAAAAACCTTGTATGTGTTACCTCTTTTAGTTATCTATATTAAGTAGTACATTATTTTTATTATTATTTGATCGATTAAATTGAATATAAACGGATTTATCTAAATTTATTTTTAAATTATTCATGTCAAGCCAAAGCAGTAATTTGTCTATTGTATTATTAATGTCAAACTCATGGTCCGTCTTGTTTTTCTTTTTATCTGATGTCACTATGATGGATATGTCGTCAGCAAATAGTATGCATTTATATTCGGTTATTTTTATTATGTCATTAATATATAGAAGAAACAATATCGGACCCAGAACACTTCCTTGCGGGACGCCACACTTATTTTGCCTATATTCTGACGAGAACGGTATCATATCTATTATTATCATAGTTATTAGAATCTAACAAAAAACATTCTGTAAAAAACTAGCTAAGTCTCGATGGAGCCGCTCGTTCATCTTTAAAAAGTAATGGAATCTAGACAAAGTCGTGCCAAGTCTAAGGTTCTTTACTGTGATTTCTTTATTATTATAGTTAATGCTGTGTGAGTTGGCCGTTCAACTATTGAAGATGGTTTAATGGTAAAAGTTGATTGAATATACAGCGGTTCTGGCGACAGAATGGTGCAATGGTGTCTTGCCCCTGGGTTTGCACCCTTGTGGGTCCTTTAACTCCGTAAATTAAGCATACTTATTTAGTTATACTTAGTGTACAGTCATTAAGAGTAGTTGTTAATTTTAATGACCACATCTAATTTCAAGACAACGAAGTCTTAACCATACAGTTATATAGAATCAAAGATCTTAATCTTAAATCTCCTATCTCCTCAATCCCTGAATCCCCAACGATCCTCAAACTCCTAATCCTCAAAAAGCCGGTGACGCACTTGTAACGCCTCTGGTGTTCCAGGTGTCCATACTGCTCATTTATTGACTTATGCACTAAAAAAAAGACTCCACGATATTTAAAACAGTATTCAAATCACATAACAAACTGGTTCAAAATAACCAAAAAATATTCCTTAACACATTCATTTTAACGATATTTTTTCTACAATTTTCTTTTAAATTCAATGCCTATCATTTATTTATTGAATCTATAGAAAGTATAAACGCTTTAGAATTCCTAAAATCTTTCACTTTATTTACGGGATCATTAAAAATCTTAATGGTTACTCTTATAGACCTTTTATACTGAATCTATTCATAACACATAATGATAAGGGATCTCTAATTGCTTTTATATTATCTCTTGAACTTGAGTAGTCGCAAGTGCCGGGCAAGGGTCTCGGGTTCAATTCCCGGGTCGAACAAAGTTTTACTGGGTTTTTTTTTTAATTCTCAGTAGTAACACGGATTCTGGAATTATGCTCGGTATATAGCAATAGGCTCGCCCCCTATTACATGGGACTCATAACATAAATAGTGAAAAGTGAGTGTAACATTGTACAGTGCCGTAATATGCAACTCTGCTTACCCCTTTGGGGATAAAAGACGGAATAATATAAATACTTACTCTCTATGGGAGTTAGATTCAGGATCGTCTGGGTTGCGTAGACGCAAGTTCTTGCGGATGTCCACCGTCTCATTGGAATGGCGGCTCACTGACAAACCACCCGGCAACAGCATTGCAGTCTCATCTGTTTAAGAACATACAAAAATAATTAAAATTCAAAATGACTTTCTTAGAGGACGATTTAAAATTGGTAAAGACAAATTTTTAATTATTTAATCCCCAACAATCCTCAAGTTCCTAATCCCCAAACGACTGGTAACGCATTTGTAACAACCTCTTATGCTTCGAGTGTCAATGACCGGCACTGATTGCTTACCATCATGTAATCCGTCTGCTCGTTGACAGATTTATTCCATAAAAAATCTAAAAGAATATGAGTTAACACAACGACAAATCTGTAAGTAACAAGTTGATTGTTTGTAACTCGTCAATCTGATCAGCAGTTACCAATAGTGGCTGATAAGATTGGGAAGAAGAGAAGTGTGGGAGAGCCATGCTTCGGCACGAATGGGCTGGCTCGACCGGAGTGATACCACGGCCTCACAGAAAACCGACGTGAAGCAACGCTTGCGTTGTGTTTCGTCGTGTGAGGGAGGTTACAGGAGGCCCAAAAACCCTCCCCTTCCCCAATCTCCCCAATTCCTGAATCCCCAACTATCCTCAAACTCCTAATCCCCAAAAGGCCGGTAACGCACTTGTAACGCCTCTGGTGTTCCAGGTGGCAATGGGCGACGCTGATTGCTTACCATCAAGTGATCCGTCTGCTGATGATGCCATAAAAAAATGATGCAAACAGATACAACAATTTGATAGCTAGTGATTTGACACTGGGTAATTCTCTATTACAAAATTAACGCTACATGAACGCCATAATGACGTACTCCTGCATAACCACAAAAACTTGTCTTCACTCACCTCTCAACGGCACATCGCTGTCAGCAGAACAGCCTCTATGTTCCTGGCAGGCTCTTCGCTGCACCAACGAGGGGCAATGTCGGCCACCGTGCGCAGGCGCCTGTACCACGCGGCGGCTGCGCACCATGCTGCCGGAGCCGCAGTTTGTGTCGCAGTCTGACCATGGACCCCAGCCTGATACCACGCAATCGATTACTGGGAACAAAAAAGAGGGGATAATATTAGTTTTCATACGTTTTATATTGAGATTGGTATATTATTTGACTTCTTGCTAATAGTACGAGATCCGGCTGCAGAATCAGTGTACCCATCGAGTGTTTGCTGAAAACCAAATTTTTACACATATTCATGATTAGGAGAATTTATATCCACCAGGTTGCCTATCAAAATGTGGCCGCTAGTATTTTTAATTAAATTATTAATAATTCATAATCCGTAAGAAATTTCACTGACTTTTTTTTTCAATGAAATGTCGTCTACTTCACGGCAACATCTATAAAGACTCTGAAAAATTATGGTTGCCGTTGCGCACCTGGCCGCACCTCTTCGCAGCCAGGTATACACAGGTATGAATTTGTTACATTTATACACCCACAACGTACATTTATAATTTATATATCAAATTAAAGCAAATTTTTTTCTGTATATTATTATATACGGTTGCTTAATTAAATCTGGCCGCCAATAAGGGTTGCTGGCTAATAAATATAGTAAATATTAAAAGTAGAGTGAAAGAGAGCTAGCGCGTAACACCACTAGTCAGACGAGGATAGCGATTGCCAGCTGTCAGACGGTTTAAAGCCATTGCGCATGCGTCAGATGTTAGTGTTGTCAACGGATCAAAAAAAAATTGCTGTTTTATTTGTGCATCGAAAAATTATCAATCTCATTTAAGTGAAATAAAATTTATAAGGATGAAGGCGTGTTTCCTGTGCGACAAAAAATGCAATGTACTAGACTTTGATAATGCTTCATTCAAAAAGTGTTCTCTAATGTTATTGTTTCGTCGCAAGAAAAAATATAAATATCATGACATTTTATTAACACTTGAATCTACCGATGATTTTGGATATCATACAAAATGTTTGAAAAAAATTACAGTTTTAAAGCAAAAAGATAAAGAAGACTTCGAAAGTTTAAAGATTTAAAGACAATGATAATAAATCTGAGTACAAATAAATAAATAAATATTGAATAATTAGTGCTTTATTTCTCTTATTAATCCCATAGGTCTTTTCGGTTACGCGCGCCTGCTCCCGTTATAAATGACTACGCGCCCGCTTGAAGGTAAAACTGATGATTGATGAATATGTAAAATAAATGTAATACTTGAATAAAATTAAATCTTTTTTCATACAGTACTTGTACAACACAATTTTTTTACATAAGTAACCTTGATTTTATTTATCATCAATATTCATTTTTTTTTGTAATTTTTAAATTTGTCGTTGATTTTTAATTTTTTATTTTAGAAAAGAAAGACGTTTCTTTTGGAGTATTTATTATTTTGAGTCGTACCTAGTGACTAGTGGTGTTACGCGCTAGCTCTCTTTCATCTACTTTTAATATTTACTATATTTATTAGCCAGCAACCCTTATTGGCGGCCAGATTTAATTAAGCAACCGTATATAATAATATACAGAAAAAAATTTGCTTTAATTTGATATATAAATTATAAATGTACGTTGTGGGTGTATAAATGTAACAAATTCATACCTGTGTATACCTGGCTGCGAAGAGGTGCGGCCAGGTGCGCAACGGCAACCATAATTTTTCAGAGTCTTTATAGATGTTGCCGTGAAGTAGACGACATTTCATTGAAAAAAAAAGTCAGTGAAATTTCTTACGGATTATGAATTATTAATAATTTAATTAAAAATACTAGCGGCCACATTTTGATAGGCAACCTGGTGGATATAAATTCTCCTAATCATGAATATGTGTAAAAATTTGGTTTTCAGCAAACACTCGATGGGTACACTGATTCTGCAGCCGGATCTTAGACTATAAGGAGTTATGTATTAGGTAATTAGTTATATATAAAGGTTATGGCTTATTTTAATTTGGCCCTTTTTTAATATACCAGCCAATCTGGTCAGTAGGTCATATGTCTGTTTAGGGCGCCCTCAGTCTACCGACGGCTCCATTCATATCCGCTCTGTATACTACTTTCGTTATTCTACTTTCATCCATCCTTTCTACATGTCTTGATTCTGCCTACATATAGAATGGACGTATAGAATGGACAAAAGTTTAGTAAATATTATATTAAAAGAGTGCAACAGATCCCGACATTCATGCATGCTCGTCGGTTAAGGGTACCTTTATATTATATTTATTTTTATATATGTGTTCTTATATATATTGTGTATATGTTTGATATTATATGACATATAAATATATCTTTCGTTACAAAAAAGACCTTGTACACATTGTAATAAAGGTGAAATATAATAAAGCATATACGTTTAATAGCTGTCTCATTACATTGACATGACAATGACAATAGAATGTACTGTCTTCTCCCTCTATTCATTCATGTGTGAATTAATTTTTATATCATGTCATTGAAATATTATTGTCTATTATTGTCCTGATGGTTGAGGTGTTACAGTTGTAAGTGACTGCTGAACTCTGAAGAGTAGCTCCGTGCGGGAACCTCAGGGTGGCAGCCGGTTGCCCAGCCACCGCACCAATGAATGTGCCGTCATGAATGGTGTCGGTGTATTACAATATGGCTCACCCTGTTTAATGTAAGCCTCATCATCACTGTCGAAAGTTCGATTGTGTAAAATCATAAGCAGTCTAAAATTTTGATGACTTGCACTTTTCATACAAAATCAACGATGCACTGTGACGCTACAGCACAACGTCCTGTATATTGCAATATTTGAAACATAGAGAATGGTAGTTATTAGTCATTGATAATAATTAAGGTGTTTGAAGAAACGAATGCGGTTTGTATGGCATAGGAGGCAAATGAGTAGTCGTATCACCTGATGTTAAGCGATTAGCGTCGCCCATGGGCACCCGCAACACCAGAGGAGTAGTTACCGTCTTAATTACGTTACAGTAACATTCTTCATTTTCGAAAAACTTGTAGTTAATAGTCATTAATAATAAAGGTGTTTGAAGAAACGAATGCATTTTTATGAATTAATAGGAGGCAAACGAGCAGTTGGATCATCGGATGGTAAGCGATCAGCGCCGCCCATGGACACTCGCAACACCAGATAAGTCACATAACATAACATAACATCACGCCTTTTATCCTCGAAGGGGTAGGCAGAGGTGCACATTATACAGTGGTACAATTTAACACCCACTTTTTACTATTTATGAGTCCCATGTAATAGGGGGTGAGCCTATTGCCATATACCGGGCACAGTTCCAAACTCCGTGCTACTACTCAGAGTTTTTAAAAACCCAGTAATACTTTCCCCAACCCGGGAATCGAACCCGAGACCCCTTGCCCGGCAGTCGCAATTGCGACCACTCGGCCAACGGGGCAGTCAGAGAAGTAGTGACTTTCTTAAATTAAGTCACAGTAACACTAACGCAGAAAGCCAGAGCCTCCTTCGTCGGCAGCCACGCTCTTAACTGCTCGACCAACCGACCCAGTCACATTTTATTTATAGTGGCCCAGAAACTCAATGGTACGGGCTATTTGACGGAAAAGACCCCGAGGCTATCGTGTGGAAATTGTGTATTGAAACAGTCTACATTTAGGAGTGTACCAATATTTTACCATTTCAATACCAATACAATACAATTGAGGGCCTTTTTTATTGTATTGTATTGTATTGTTCCGAGACGTAAATGAGTGGGACTTGTATTGAGGAATTTAGGACGTCCGTTGAATGCCTAAATGAGTCGTTATTTGACTCCTAGGCATTTCAGGGGTACGGAAAGTAATGGGGAATTTTAAGGACCAAAATTCTTTGAAAATTGTCTAGTATTTTTTATTAATAGAATAACATAACATCATGCCTTTTATGTCCGAAAGGGTAGGCAGCGGTGCACATTATGGGACTTAATGCCACTGTACAATGTTACACCCACTTTTCACTATTTATGTTATGAGTCCTATGTAATAAGGAATGAGTCTATTGCCATATATCTATATATATAAAATTCAAAGGTGATTGACTGACTGACTGACTGACATAGTGATCTATCAACGCACAGCCCACACCGCTGGACAGATTGGGCTAAAATTTGGCATACTGATAGATGTTATGACGTAGGCATCCGCTAAGAAAGGATTTTGATAATTTCCACCCCCAAAGGGGTAAAAAAGGGGATGAAAGTTTGTATGAAACTTTGTCAGTTTTTAACTGATCAGGTTGAAATTTGGCATGCAGATAGATGTTATGACGTAAGCATCCGCTGTGAAAGGATTTTGATAATTTCCACCCCCAAGGGGGTAAAATAGGGGATGAAAGTTTGTATGAGACTTTGTCAGTTTTAAACCGATCGGGTTGAAATTTGGCATGCAGATAGATGTTATGACGTAAGCATCCGCTTTGAAAGGATTTTAATAATTTCCACCCCCAAGATGGTAAAATAGGGGATGAAAGTTTGTATGAGACATTGTCAGTTTTAAATCGATCGGGTTGAAATTTGGCATGCAGATAGATGTTATGACGTAGGCATCCGCTGTGAAAGGATTTTGATAATTTCCATCCCCAAGTGGGTAAAATAGGGGATGAAAGTTTGTATGAGACATTGTCAGTTTTAAATCGATTGGGTTGAAATTTGGCATGAAGATAGATGTCATGACGTAGGCATCCGCTGTGAAAGGATTTTGATAATTTCCACCCCCAAGTGGGTAAAATAGGGGATGAAAGTTTATATGAGCCTTTGTCAGTTTTAAACCGATCAGGTTGAAATTTGGCATGCAGATAGATGTTATGACGTAAGCATCCGCTTTGAAAGGATTTTGATAATTTCCACCCCCAAGGGAGTAAAATAGAGGATGAAAGTTTGTATGAGACACTAGCTGTTGCCCGCGACTTCGTCCGCGTAGATTAATGACTTCTGACAGAATTAACCAGAATCAATTCAGTGCCCAAGTAAGATTTACCTATTTTGAAATGATTTATCGTAGTTTCAATAAATAAATAATCCCGCAGGGATCTTACCAGTACAGTGCCCGATCACGTAAGGTTTGAGTAATAAAAACTATTCTATCGACTATTGTTGTACCGAATCTCTCTAGAATAAGTTCAGTGGTTAAGAGTAAGAGAGTCCTGGGGCATTGACGCATAGTTCCCGTTCTCGTGAGACATCTGTGAAAAAACTATCATACGTTACCCAGGTCCTAAATCATCGTTTTACCGAATGTAATTCAAAAAGATTCAATGATTCTAAATTCAACGGCTAAGAAGATTTATACAAACTCTCATTCCCTATTTTATCCCCTTAGGGGTGGAACTTATCAAAATCCTTTCTAAAGAGATACCTATGTCATAGTAACTTTATGCATGCAAAGTCTCAGCCCGATCAATTTAAAACTGGCAAAGTATCATACAAACTTTCACCCCCTATTTTACCCACTTTGGGGTGGAAATGTAAAAACCTTTCTAAAGGGTTTACGTCATAATATCCATCTGCACGCCGAATTTCAACCCGATCGGTTAAAACTGACAAAGCTCATACAAACGTTCATCCCCTATTTTACCCCCTTGGGGTGGAAATTATCAAAATCCTTTCAAAGCGGATGCTTACGTCATAACATCTATCTGCATGCCAAATTTCAACCGATCGATTTAAAACTGACAAAGCTCATATAAACTTTCATCCCCTATTTTACCCCTTGGGGGTGGAAATTATCAAAATCCTTTCACAGCGGATGCTACGTCATAACATCTATCTGCATGCCAAATTTCAACCCGATCGATTTAAAACTGACAATGTCTCATACAACTTTCATCCCCTATTTTACCCACTTGGGGGTGGAAATTATCAAAATCCTTTCACAGCGGATGCCTACGTCATAACATCTATCTGCATGCCAAATTTCAACCCGATCGATTTAAAACTGACAAAGTCTCATACAAACTTTCATCCCCTATTTTACCCTTGGGGGTGGAAATTATCAAAATCCTTTCAAAGCGGATGCTTACGTCATAACATCTATCTGCATGCCAAATTTCAACCCGATCGGTTTAAAACTGACAAAGTCTCATACAAACTTTCATCCCCTATTTTACCCCCTTGGGGGTGGAAATTATCAAAATCCTTTCACAGCGGATGCTTACGTCATAACATCTATCTGCATGCCAAATTTCAACCTGATCAGTTAAAAACTGACAAAGTTTCATACAAACTTTCATCCCCTTTTTTACCCCCTTGGGGGTGGAAATTATCAAAATCCTTTCTTAGCGGATGCCTACGTCATAACATCTATCAGTATGCCAAATTTTAGCCCAATCTGTCCAGCGGTGTGGGCTGTGCGTTGATAGATCACTATGTCAGTCAGTCAGTCAGTCAATCACCTTTGAATTTTATATATATAGATTGTCAGTTTTAAATCGATCGGATTGAAATTTGACATGCAGATAGATGTTATCACATAGGCAACCGCTAAGAAAGGATTTTGATAATTTCCACCCCTAAGGGGGTAAAATAGGGGGTGAAAGTTTGTATGATACTTTTCCAGTTTTACACCGATCGGGCTGAGACTTTGCATGCATAAAGTTACTATGACATAGGTATCTCTTTAGAAAGGATTTTGATAAGTTCCACCCCTAAGGGGATAAAATA